CATTGCCATTAGACATGTATCTTTCAGTGAATGACATTCGTCTACAGCCATATAACTATAGTTTGTGTCCACTTACTCTTGAACTTGGATGGTCTCGTGATTGGCTTAGCTCCTTTGTTTAGAAGGAGATTGATCATGTGATAATCGTTATTTTTTGCCGCTATTTGCATTGCCGTTATTGGTTGTTTTTTCCGTCGACCTACGCAGTTGATGTTGACCTCGTCATTCTGTAAGTATTAGCAAAATAGAATGGTGCAAAATTACCCTCAATGTCAATGGAAATGTCCGACTAGTCAGTCTCGTTCATCATCATTAGGTTAAAATGGTATACAATACGTATTATTTCCCATCAATCAGATTCACATCATCGTGTAACAAAACAGTAAGTATGTGTAAATATGCACAGTATGTGTATTTACCTCCAGGAATAATGCAACTGCATCTAGATCTCCGCGTTGAACGGCTGAAATAAATTCTGTTTCATTTTTTGTTAATGCCTTGTTAGTTCTGTCTTGCATGAAATAGTTCCATTCTGCTCTGGTCAACTCATAACTTATTGTAGCCATGGTAGCTGAAAGTAGAATAGGTAAAGTAGAATAATTGTTAACTGTGTTATTTGTAGCCGTACTCTACATACCCGTACATTCTGATAACAAATATGATCATCACATTACAACATGCAACAAGTGATTCAAATTCCCGATAATGAAATGCGGCTCACCATTGAAAGCAGAGGAGCTTCTATACAGGCTAACACTCACTATCCAAATAGCTTTTAGTGAACAGTGATCAGATATACGTGCATACATGAAACATTAAAATGATGTAAATGCTTCTCGTTATGTTTGCAAGGTCATATTTTTGTACAGGTAGTATAAGAACAAGTTTGCATTAGCTGTTCAAAATATATATAATTTATAATGCCATATATATGCATCCAGTGTACATAGTTTTATTATCAAACATAGTGTTCTTAAATAAATTGTATGATATGATTAGCAAGATACACCCGATTTCAATGGAAACTCAACAGTAACTATATTGTGGTATTGTATTTCTTTTGCCAATATATATCACGTATAAGTTATAGATGCTTGTTCGTGGGCACTCTCAGTGTTTTTTTTTGCTTTTCTTACCCAGACAGTCTTGGCTAGATAGTGTTGAAATTTCGGAGCATTGTCACTGCTGAAACCTGCCCAAAAATGGATTTTAAAATATAGGGAATCGAGGCACGCGTAGTTTATTAAAAGTCCCGAAAGTTTGTTTACGTTGCTGTTTGATTGACAAGTCACTGTTGATGTTATATGCAAATGAGTTGCTGGCCTCAGTTACGTTGCGGCGATGTGTAACTTCCTGTCCGCGACTCTGTTTAACTTACCTCAAGCGCTATCAACTAGTCTTGCAAACTACAAAAAATGACAAGACGTAGACACTTCCAGCATGCAAGCGGAATATAAAAAACATACAGTTATAAATGATAAGTAAACTTGTTCACTCTTATCTCGCAACATATGTCGACAAATTGTAGCCTGGCAGCTTCCAGTGGAGTACTGGCATTATAAAACTGACTAATTATACATTTGTCGTTTCGCTGTAACGATCACCGTGTGGATAGTTACCTTAATCAGAAACCCCCTTGTCAGCTAGCATGCATCTGTAGCGATGACGCAATGTAAGTTGTACGGCCGTGCTCGGCGACCTCTGGTACTATGGCACTCTATGAATGAGGTATTTCCAGAGGTCAGGGTTCGTTTTAATTTTTATCGACCCGTCTAGTCTGCTCAATTTACAATAGCTGTCTTCCATTTCGACTTTTTCTTACCGGTGTTTGAGCGATTGAGTACAAAATCTGTAAATAGCCGTTGTGTAGCAAAATATTACGGTCCATTTCAACCTGGTCATCTAACTTCGCACGGTCCATTTCACTGCGTCATACAGAGTATTTTTTAAAGGTTTGAGGAAAGGTAAATTTAGACCCAACCCACCCAATGGGAGTCGCTATGTTTGTATAACTGTATGAATATCTCATCGGATTTACGTAATCCTTTGTGTCCCTCCCTCAGTGGAAATGATAACACGACGCCATGACAGTTTTCATGCAAGGTTTTTACTCCGCGGACGATTTTACGTCCGTTTCCCTAGTATTGTAAATATTTTTTTTTAATCTGACGATTGAACATCAGCAAGCGTCGGTGTATGATGGATTTTGGCATGTCGTCGTGATGCAATAGCCATTTTTGTGTACGATTAACGTCACTTTCATAAAACGGCCATTATCTCCGTTCGTGTTTTCTGGTTGGTCAGAGAGATAGAAAATTAATTAGCGCCCACAGTTTCTGTCAGTTTGTCTTGACATTTTCACACTATTTTGACAGCGTCTCTACGAACAAAAGGACGTCTGGGCTTATTTTTAAAGCTTCCATGGTAAACTGAAAAACACAAGTGGAGATAATGGCTAATTTGCATAAACCATTCACTCAGTAAGAAGTTTGCTAATGCTCATATTAGCAAATGGCTGTAACAGTTTGTAACAAATTAAAACCTATTATCGTTTTGTGAAAATTTAAATATAGTGCATACTATGGAGATCCCGTCATTACTTTTTTTCACCAAGTTTCTTTTTGATTATTTATGTACAGCCTTGCTAAATCTTGCTAATCATTCAAAAGAGAGAATGTTTGTATCAGTTTTCTATATTTTAAAATCGTCTTTTGAGTATGTTCCACTATTCATAATGCTGTGAAATTTTAACAGTCTATAGCCAAGACTGTTCGGATAATAAAAAGCAAAAAAAAAAGAAAGAAAATTCACTCGCAAGTGCCCACGAACCTGCATCTATACCTTAATGAACTATTCACTGTTAACTCAGATATAACGTATAGTTTTGATAACAATTGTGTATCAATGTTTTTACTCCGATTGATATATAATCTATATATGAGATGCATTTTCAAATCATGCATGGAATAACAACATGTACCATAGTTAATTGGTGATTAGTGCCAGAGTAAGATTATTTCTTTCCATTGAATTGAAACACAACACGAAGTACGAAAAACAGGATAAAGAAATTTGAAAAAAATTATTGAATGCAACACGTCCCTGATGAATCTACGTTCACTACAACTGCTTTCACTTGCAATTCTAGAAACTCTTGGCATTTTATTATGTCGTTGACGTGCGTACAAACGTGTGTGGAAACGATCGTTTTTTTCGCAGAACAAAGGTGAGCGTAATATATTTCCTATGTCTAGAAATTTCTGCACTCTCAAACGATACTAGTATCATACAATTAAAAAAATGGCTGTCTCGCCTGCAGAAGACGCGAAAGTAAACTCTCCACGGAGCAGTGTCTGCATCACAACCCTCATGACTCACCCATGGAAAACGACAATATATTTACTAAAGCATAAATTTAATTATTGTCTATAAACACATATCAAGTTTTCCCTTTATAACGTATTTTCATGTGATGTGAAAAATTAGATTTCTCACACTCATTTGGGATCTTTTTTTTTTCTGTTAAGCCCAATGTAACTTAAAGTAACACTTTTAATTTGTCCCATCACTACATACTCTGCTATCGCCGTTGCATAATGAGGTCCGTCGATTGGTAATGGAATTTAAATTTAAATATAACGTGTACAAAAAGCGGGCACCTAATAATAAATGACACGTATAGCTATTATTACACACTCGTTGCAGGTTATTGCTTATTTATGCATTTCGAGGTGCATGGATCAGAGGTCGCGAGTGTTTGTAGCCAAAACGACCTAAACGCATGTAATCAGAAAATGCACCACTTGCTCCTCATCCTATAGACGTAAACGTGGTAACAGAATGCGCCATTTTATGTTTTTAGAGTAATAGACATTGTTTTTAGCATTGCAAAGGGTAATGTCACCATCATTATGTTCATTCATAAGACCACAATGGAGTTGAATAATCTAACGACTAGTGATGTGTTTGTTCACTAATTCGGTATCACTAGAATATTACCGTATTCTTATTTTAAACTGGTTATGCTAAATAAATAAATGAATGAATACATTATTTGCCTGATGCAGAAATAATTGCAATTGTTTATCACAAAGTATTTTCTAGAGAATAGATGGGTTACCAACATACATTCACATAATCAGGATTATCAAAAATATATGGTAAAATTCTCAACAAAGTATATAATTTCTCTCTAATACGATATAAACATACAGGTCATCTTTTTCAACGACATAATAAATAGTGTTAAGTACTTTAAACATATACTGCCACTTATCTAAGATATTACCTATTACATTAGTGAGACTGAGAAATGAATAAAAATGAGGGCAAAATAAAGTTGCAGTAGATATATAATATACTTACGCATATTGTTGTTTTCTCGTTTATTGCAATGCACATATTTAATTGATCCATTGAATGGCTCTGGGAATACACTATATACATATCAATTGCAAATTCAATTTCTAGGACTGTCTTCATTGATTAAAGTCTTTAAATATACTATCAATTGCCTAATGACTAATATTTTATGATTGGTAGTGTTGTATAAACACATCATTTCATAAAGAATTAAATAAAATTACAAACCATAGGATTAACATGAAATGCAAAACTTTCACGTAATTGTACACATGTTAATTTTTCAAAAACGTACAAAAGTACATGTGTACAAATCTTTCTATTCAGTATAGTTATTTAACTCTGTAAATGGTTACTGAGAGTGTTGATTTCTGATGAAATAATTATATGCCCAAATTTCTTTATATGAAACAATGGCAAGCATGAAGTGCTTTGAAGTAATTAATAATTATTTAAGCGATAATACTTCATATATAAATATACATTTTTAACAAAAATATGCAAACATTAAAACAGTATTTTGTCTAATCACACTATTTTTATAACTTTATCATACACAGAATGATACTAATCAATTACCGACTCCAAAAATACAAACATATGCCACACAAATCATATTGCATAATAGTGTTACACAATCATGCTGTATCTCCTGCTGTCATATCTGTATCATCAGTAGCTTGACTGCACTCTATATCTTCCTCCTTTATAATCTCTTTCATCAGTAAATAACGAACTAGAAGAACATTAATGAGCTACAAAACAGAACAGTTATACAAATGTTTAGTTAACGAAAATTTGCATTCAAATAAAAGTCTCGTATGTTTGATATTATCTAATTAACATACACCTTTAAGCGACATCCTACCTGCTCGTAATGAAGAACCTGTTTCTTATCTTCTTTCAAGGACAATGCGAGCTGTGAAGTATAATGCAAATTATGCAGTCAAGTGTTACATAATATTGTTATTACTTATGCAACATGTGTCAGATTTCAGATTGCCATGAAAGCGAAAGCATGTAGAACCAAAAGGCATTCTGGAAATTTAAATATCAGCTTTTCCATGTATAGTATTATACAAAACGAAAATCACCTCCATTTCATCATTTGTCTCCACCTCAGCTGATGTCGTCTTTTTGATACAGCTCATACAGAGTCGTTTAAATATTGAAACGTTTGGTACAATGTTGTAGGGTGCTGGTAGTACTGGCGCACTAATGTAATTCATCCAAATCTTTGCACGGAGAAATTTCCACTCAGTGTCGATATTTTCCTGAAATCAATATTACAACAATATATATGCAGCAAACCTTTGCATTATTCTTGTAAATAAAATTATGGCATATTAACAATTAATAGGTAAAATTTAAAGATACTCACTCTCAACTGTGTGTACGTGTCAGACATCATAGCAATACATATATTAAGTAGCACCAACATACATAGAGTACCAAACATGGTAAAGAGTAAGAAACCCATATATCTGTACATAGGATATGCATAATAACCCTTGGTATTGTGATCGGGCGTGGCACCAAAGTTCAGTTCTTCACTTGGATCACCGCCAAATATTGTCAGTATCAAAGAAGTTATTGACGATTCTAAGCTGCAAAAAAAATAATGTATATTAATTGTGTATTAAGGAGCTTTAATTGACCCAAAGGCCTAATTCTACGGCGGTAAATAATGCTGAAATAATCGACATAATTATTAATATTTTGGTTTGTTGTTTAAAGAGAGACTTCGTAAATTATGTGTATATCACAAATGTGGATATCACCAAAATCTAACCCTTTTAAACAAAATTAAATCAACACGGTCAATTATCACTTTTGGGATTTCCAACATTAACTCGCAAAAACAATATTCAATAAACATATTTTAATAGTATTAGTATTAGAATGTAATTGTAAAAAAAAGCAAAATGTAATCACTTGTTCAGAAACACATATAACTTTACTAAGATATACGTCACAGAAAAACGACATACGTAAACGTGGGTCAGGGTTATTGGTTATTATACAAATCTTATATAAGAACAGTAGGTTTTGTGAGGAACCGTCTTGCACTACATTTGTTACTGTAATGTATCGCTATTATAACATAATTTATTACAGTACATATACTTACTTGTTAAAAACACTGTCTTTAACACCTTCATACAGGTAGTAGAACCCAAATGCGAACGCTAACACAACATATATGAAGATTACCAGAAATCTGGTAACGTCCCCTTTCAGCTCAGTGAACAAGAGGAGCAGGTGGCCAAGGTAGTTGGTCAGGTACATATGTTCAAAAAAGCGTAAACAAGCTAGAGTCAGAATCAGAGCTGTCCAAGTAAACCAAAACACTTGTAGTGTGTCATCGATTTCGTCCAAACAGTTCAATAACCTCAGTGAAATGTCCGATCCAAATGACACGAAAATCAACAAGTCAATATAATTCCAATAGTTCGTGAAATATTTTTTGAATCCAATACTCTTAAGCTCCACGATCTCTGCCCAAATATATGCAGTGTCGTATATTAGTAGAAACATTAGAAGACCCACTAACATATCACTTAATGGGTCATTTGGGTTTGGGGCAATTTGGACATTTAACACGATAATGAGTACCAGGAAAAGTAAGTATGATGTCATTTTGGTGAAATATTTGGCTTTTGGATTATCGAGTATTTTTGCCACAGTGCAGTCTGGTGATATGATATAGGCAGTTGCTAACACAGGCAGTAGAACTACATACATTAATAGGCAGTACGCAACATAGAGAAACCACCAACTCCAACTGTCAGAATGCTCTTTCCACAATGGCTGTCTATGCCTCCAGATTGTTTTCATAATCTTCTGGGTTTTGTAATGTGCGATGAACTGTAGAACAAAGGATATTTTATGTGTCTGACAATCTGAATAATCTAAAAAAAATAATTAAACCATTCAGCAGTTTATGAAAGGAAATGGTTATAAGTGTTCTACTGGAATTACGTACAGATTGCCTGGACTATGAATAATGATTCATTGATATGTTCGATGCTTATCGTCATTTTACACTACATATCAGAAGCGTAATATTACGTTCACCTCTTTATGGCAGCTCTCTATGGCTTTACTGATAATGGTATTTGTGTCTGGAAGTGTAGTTTCCATGCAATCAGTATCTCTCCCAGTCATAAGCGTATAGACTTCGTTCATGTCTTCACAGCATTCAAGCCATTCCATAGAATACTTGTAAACTTTTTTCCTCATCTCCTCATAGTTTTCCTGTCATTGTAAGTAGTTTTGTGAGGTAATGCAATAACTGCCTGACTTGGCGTAACTATTCAAAGCTGAGAATGTATTATGATAAATATTAATAGACGATATGTGGTCTATCTGTAATGTAATCGCTGTCCCTTATGCAATAGTTAAATATTAAATACCTATGGTCACTACTAAAAAGCATTGTGTGTGTTATTCAATTTCGATGTAATTAAAATCTTACGTCTGTCACGCCCTTAATATCATTGACAAGATCCATAGAAGTCGCAAGTGGATCACTGTTAGCTGCACTCAGGTAGGCAGGTGATGTTAGAGCTTCATATGTTTCGAGCATATTATCATGGCCTAATATGCTCCTTTGTTCTACGAAGAAGTAATTAATTTATATTAATGAAATATAGAATTAGTGAAGCACGTCAAAGTTATGTTAGTTATATTATACACATTTAGTTTGTTTTGTGAATATAATTTAAGTTTGCGTTCACTTACTTTGAAAGGTCGATGGTCTTGTGATTGTCCTAGCTCCGTTGCTTAGTAGCAGATTGATCATGTGATAATCGTCATTTTTTGCCGCTAATTGCAATGCCGTTATTGGTAATTTTTTTCGCCGGCCTGTACAGTTAACATTTATTGCGCCACTCTGTATGGTAGTAAACACAGATTATTGAGAGAACTACTGTGCTACATCACTTCGACACACAATTTGAATAGGTATGCAATGAGTAGTGCTTATTTGTCAATCAAGTTACTAACAACATTGTGTAACGAAGCAGTAATTATGAAATATAAGCACATATGTACTTACCTCTAAGAGTAATGCAACTGCATCTATATCTCTGCATTCAACGGCTGAAATAAATTCTGTTTCATTCTTCGTTAATACATCGTTGGTTTTGGCCTGCATGAAATAGTTCCATTCTCTTCTTGTCAACTGGCAACCTTTTTTGGCCATGAGTGTGCAAAAGTTATTAATTAAAGTTAATTATAGCCGTGCTTGCTTCTATTGACAATTTTTTGCATAACGTGTAGACAACGTCCTCTACACAATGTAATTACAGGGATATAAACATACATTACAACATGCAAAATGCAAACTCCTCGCGTCTGTATAAATACACGCCGTACTACGCAACACTTGCTGTGCAAACGATTTCTGGTCGTGTATTAAGAACACAGTAATCACGTATCTAAATATACATTTCATTTAGGTCACAGTTGAATGTGTTAACTGTTATCGCGCACAGATCACGAATGACCCGTTTCTCTTTCAATATATTATATTTGTTACAGGCTGTGTATCTAAATGATCGCATTAGCTGTCAAAGATAATGACCTGATAGTGTATGAGTGACGTTGGTTATCAATGAATGTTTTCGTAGATTTGTTCATATGTGTTAGGCAGGTCATACCTTCAAGCTCGTGTTGTGGTAAGATATGAAAATAATCCCGGCTCAAAGTTGCCACGAGTTTTCGAATACCATCGCGCCAAATGTATCATCCCTACTACCTTGGATATATCACATTCTACTAAACTTAATTGTGGGCGAAAAATTTGTTTATTTTTTATATCATAATCTTTTTCATTGCTGATAAATTGGACCGCGTATTATATTTTTTACCTTTCTTTATTGATCAAATTTGACGGGCAGGTCACACCTGCATTTTGGAAAGGTTAACAAATTATAAAAAAAATGTTCTGTCCTTATTGTTGCCATGACAACGGCCAGGAATGTTGTGTTCTCGAAATTGAACAAAAGTTAAAATTGTCAACAATGTTTAAATATTTTCTATGATGTATGTGATTGTCTCAGCATGCAATTCAAATAATTCTGCATTCATCACGAGGTGCCCACTTTGATGACACACTGCAAAAGTAATTAAAATAATAAATAATAACACATGTTTGAGAGAGTATTTATCACATCTCACTGCTGTTACGCATATGATGGGTTGAAACTCAGTCACATGACATTGAATAAAAATGGATATTATATGGTATATTGCCCGCCAAGTGGATATAACATGGGGATATCACATGAATAACGTCATTGAAACTACTGTGCATAACAAATTGTCGTTCGCCGCATTGGTGCTTCCCCGGACGTTGTTGCTTTCAAGGTTTTTAAGGAACTTTAGCCATCCGAAATAGACAGCGAACGTACCAGAACGGATATTAAGTAAGATACTCTGTTTTGATGTTTAGGCTATTCTTTATATGAAGCGAAAATGAACGTCAAAGTCGCCACTGAAACAACGGCCTGGATCGCTGTGGGCATTTCTTCGCGTTCAAGTTCCACGACGATGGTAACTGAAAACGCTCTAAGCTGTGAGACTTGTTAATAGAAGTGTAGTACGTTTGTGAGAAAGTAATTTCAAACACGTCTACGGTACTCTGACATTTTAATCTGGCGAGTGGTTAAATAACTTGCGTTTGAGAATTTCTCAATTTATTTAAAAAATGTTATACTCGATAAATGGAGTGGTTCATTTTTAGTATCCGTGGCTGAAAATAGCGTTTACTATGTGTATTCCGCAGTTTTTTCAGCAAACAATGTATGTAAATATTGAGCAATGTGGCACTTGTTATATTGCATAAAATAAAATATTGCATACTTCAAATCTAAGTGTTGTTATTTTGTGGGAAAGCGGGTGTGAGTGATGTATGGTTAGATGTGTTTGTGCATGGTGGATGTCTGCTCGATAAGCTAAAAAAACATGGTCATTCGGGCAATATCACGATTTGTTGTCTGCCCTCTGCCTTCGGCTCTGGCATCATCAATATTATGGTCATGACCACCATCCCTTGGGCAGGCAACAAATCGTGATATTACCCTCACAAACATGTGTTATTATTTAATTGTCGTCTGCCTAAAAGATGGTTGCCATGACCATAATATTAATGATGCCAGAGCCAAAGTCGAGGGCATCATCAATATGAGGGTCTTGATCAACAGCCCGAAGGGCAGACAATTTTATCACATCGAGCAGACATCCACCATGCACAATCACATTTACCATACATCACTCACACCCGCTCTTCCACAAAATAACAACACTTATATTTGAAGTATGCAATTTTTTATTTTATCTATTATAACAAGTTTCACATTATTCAATAGCATGATACATTGTTTGCTGAAGAAACCGCGAAATACACAAGTAAATGTTATTTTCAGCCACGCATACTCTTTTTAGTAACCGTGTTTCAGCAGTGTGAATCACTCAATTTATCAAGTGCAACATTTCTTAAATGAATTGAGAAATTCTCAAATGTACGTTATTTCACCACTCGCCAAATAAAAAATGTCAGAGTGCTGTGGAAGTGACTGCATAACTTTCTCCCAAACGTAACACATCTTCTATTCACAAGTCATTCAGCTTTAGAGCGTTCTCGGTGAGCATCGGCGTGGCACGCGTTGAAATGCTCACAGCGTAGAACGCGCCGCAGCAATCCCGGTTGCGACGTTTCAGTGGCGGCTTCGCCGTACATTTTTGCTTCATATAAAGAATACTCTGAACATCAAAACGGAGTATCTTATTAATATCAGTTCCCACACGTTCGATGTCTAATTTGGATGGCTAAAGTTTTTTCTGAGCGAGTCTCAATCAATAATAGCATACGTAACATCAATGAGATGTGATGAAGCTAAATATATCCCTCATGTACGTAAATACAAGTGAACTTTTCACTCAAAAATGCTGGTACTATGAGCTCGGATCTGTTATCAATATATGTACAACTTAGTATACAATAGTAATTAATATACAGATTTGGTACATTGGAATTGTGCTGAACAGAGTCCTCAAATGCACATGTGAGATACATTGCACCACCCAGTGTATTGAACAAAGCCCTCGATTATATGTATAAACTGTGCAATTACTCATCCAGGTCGCACCGTAACCATTGAACATCGCCCTCAACGCTATATCTGAATAATCTGTAGACACAATCAAAGCATTCAAAGTTAACCGAGCAGCGCCCTAAACGGTAGATTATGTCAAATCTAATAAACCCGATACAGACGAGCCTTGTGAAGACTCACCAAATCCGACAGTGTACAACACACACTTACATGTAAGATTCTGCCAGGTGAGGCCACGTATATTCAGTCCATGTATTTAGCATAAACGCACTAAAACAGAATAATACAGCTTGTACAAACTGCTCAAAAATAAAACAACTGACAAACCAAGAACAAGAAACTAAAAAAAAAAAAAAATATGACTTGCTGGTGACCTGCAGAAAATCACTAATCTAATCGCCAGTCAATCCTACCTCCAACCCTGTGATTGATCGGACGTTTTGGTCGAGTTTTGGTTGTTGTATTAATGTGCAAGAGGCAGTGATTACCAGCAATCAGCTCGACAATCAGATCGTCCTTGGCAGATTGTCAGTCAGTTTATAATATTTACATATTAGTCACATAGTGAGATATTTTGAAATTGGCCACTTTGCCAAAACATGTAATTTAGTGTTTGAGTATAGCATTGTGTAGAATGTTTCATATTTATAAACATATACTGTTAATTGATATGGATGGCCTTTGTTACTTGGTCAGTTTGTGTTATATATATTTAAACATTGACGTCATCTGTCTTGATTTATGAATCATGTGCAAACTTCGTGAAGATGTATTTTTCGCAATGCCTCGTCAAATAATGGTTTATTTTCCAACGACTATTTTAAGATGCTATTTTACAATATAAAGTAAATCTGCCAAAGTATTATTTTGAAACTCCAAGATGACATGCATTGAGAACTCAGTGTCGTATTTACGCCATTAAAAAAAAATCAGGTTCATTTATTTGTTGGAAAAATAAAAACAACGATTTTACAAACGATATTTACTACAGATGCTTATTAGACCTAGAAGATGGGAAATGCAAAATGAAGGATGAGCTTGGTAGTGACTTCATTAATTAAAACGTCTAATTTCTATGACTTATATTTACTATTAAAAGATGTTACCCACAAGAACGGTTGTCATATTCTGCAATGCAGCTCACCACGCATATATCTATTTGTATATAAATACAATGATTCTATAACAGTATCAGTATCAGTAACAGTAATTCGTGATTCTGAATACTATGTGTATACACCTAGTGTCATAATATCATATGTTTGTTTATCCTAAACAGCCATTGGCTTATTTATAGCAAGTTTACTCAACATTTGTTCATTGTTTCTTGCAGCTATATTTTCATTTTTTATTAGTTGGTTAGCACAAGTTATGTATAATATATTAAGTATTGTCATTTATTTTTAGTTAAAAAGAAGGTACTATTTTATGAATTGTTTTTTTTTACATTTGAATCAAAAATAATAATAAATTTATTTCTGAGAGATCATCATCATGGTTCTCATAATAGATGTGATATTATATATTATTAATTTTAAACATATACATTCCCATGGTACATGAATATTGTTTTCAATATTGATTTTCCTGACTAATCTGGCGGTATTAGAAGATGACATTGAAACACAATGACACAAAACGTTTGATGTCACGAATAATATTTGTAAATTTATTACAAAAAGCCATAACAGACATGAAAACTGTATAATAGTTTATTATCCATTTATTGGATTGAAACATGCACGTCATTTATGTGGGATGTGAAAAGGTTGCATCCGGTATAATTAATAAGATTTGGACTGAATTCACATCAATGTCCCAGCAGGGGAATAACTGAGGGATGTCGATTTCTGTTTCGTGTGTACCTCTTCATTTTTGCAGTTTTCGGTACAATTGATAATCGATATTTCAGTACTCTTGGTCGTTAAATGTCGTAAACAACTATACTAAAACGACCTAACGAGTTAAGCCGGTGCTGGTATCCTCTGTAAATAGTGGATAATATATATATATATATATATTGCGTTGATTAATTTATCTGTACTAGAGTTGTCATTATCTCAATATTGTGTGAGTTGCTTCTAATCTAATATAATAATAAAATATGTAATTATTCAGTTTTATTGATGTCCGACATTTAAACACCTATGTATATCTTTTGATCAGTAAATTACAGAAGACAGAAAATTGGGTAGAGTTTGCACTCAAATGCTGCTTTTTTACCTTATAATAGTCAGTACAACGTCTGTCACGGGCGTTAAGGTAATATATATATATATATATATATATATATATATATATATATATATATATATATATATATATATATATATATATATAAATATACAATTTAAAGATATTTCTACAGTAATCGTGTTCATAATAATTAGCATTGATTTTTAGAAACACGTCACGTCCGTAGGTCCCTCTACGTTTTCCACAGTATGAAACTCCTTCATGGCATTCTCGTTCACGATACCGTTCATTAGCATATAGCGAGCACGTAGTACCTTTATTAACTGTAAAAGAATAAGGTGATTTATAGCATTTACAGTCACTAATGATGAAACAAGTAAAACAAAACTTTAAAACCGACATCCAATGAATGCTTCAAATAAGGTAATTGACTATATATGTTATATGTACAGTATAGTTGACCTTGGCTTTAGAATGAGGTACATAATAAGCTACATCTAATACTAGTGCCCTATATATCACCAAACAGAAACAAATATCACACATAAGCATCGTGAGTTTTTACAATGTAAAAGTAAATATTGCTTTTCTATAGTGAATATTGTATAAGGTGTCACTGGTGAAACAATACATGTTTCGTCATAACATGAAAAACTTAATTTACCTCCTCATAGAGTAACTCTTTCTTCACCTGCACTCTTCTTGTGTTATCATTTGGATCAGTTAACTGCAGATTATCAACACACAGAGAATTAGATATGCTGAAATGGACAACTTTTACATTAAGTTGATATATAAATTTACGAGCTACTTTTAATATTTCAATGCTCTTACCTCAACGTTTTCATCTGTCCTCGAATTAGGCTTATAGCTACAAAGACACTTTTTGACAATAGAAATCAAACACGAGACTGATGGGATAATGTTATACGGAGCTGACAATACGGGGGCGTCGACATAACTCAACCATATTTTCGTCCTCATAAATCTATACTCGACCTCAATATTTTCCTAAAGGAAGTCGACATATGCATAAATAAATTAGATCAGTAAAATATAATTCAAAACAAATGACCATAGGGTTAAACGAAATGGTAATAATGTGTGTGCTGCTGCTGCTGGTAAATTTGTAGCTTTGAATATGTATAGCAGAATAACTAGATACGTTTTCGACGTATTTTATTATTTTATAAATAAATAAATAAATAAATAAATAAATAAATAAATAAATAAATAAATAAATAAATAAATAAATAAATAAATAAATAAATAAATAAATAAATAAATAAATAAGCTTTACAAATCAAAGTGTTTCTATGTTTAGATAAAGCTGTCATGTAGATACCATGGAAATCAGTACGTTTGTAGATAAGTTGTACCAATGTAATATTTAATGTAGCAACGTCTTATTCACACGCTATTATTAAATTCAAGTCATTAATGTCAATAGTAAGCGGCACTCCTTATATTTAAACATTTCAATTACACCTCCTAAGTGTTAGCTTTGAGTTTGTTACACTTATTTATTGTTATATATTTAAACACTGGTAATCAGTGCCTGACATAATTATTTACTTGAGCTTTCCCTTCTACAAAAGATATTACGTTAGCCTTCGAGATAAATGAGAACAAATATTTATTGTCGTCTTACTGCTTTATTTGGTGTGTTGGCTATTTGTTTTTATTTTCTGTGTTCTTTATTGTCTACATTGACATAAACTTTAATACATCTGACCTTTAATTATACATGGCATACTTACCTTCATCCGTGCATAAGTATCAGACATCATGGCGATGCAGATATTAACCAATACTAGCATACATATAGTACCAAACGATGCATATAGTATAAATCCCATTGTTTTGTACATAGGTCCTGCATCGACTATAGCCCCAGACACGTTGAAAAGCAAATCGTCAGCTTTTAAATTGTCCGTCGGGTCGCCACCAAATATCGTGGTAACCAGGGCAACAAATGACGTAGCGAGTCTACATTCATACGAAAGAGAAATTAATAGTATGAAATACATGTTAAACTCAAGTGTGTAGGTAAGATTATTGTACTCGAATGTATAAAAAGGAATACGTCATTACGTAGATATATAAGTTTTGGCTACTACTGCAGAAGTTCTTGTCTTCAAGTGCAAATCACAATACTCACTCGTTGAAAACATTACCGGTACCTATGTCATCATATAGGTAGTAGAATCCAAATGCAAATGCCACGACAGTGTATACAAATATGATGAGAAACTTGATGACGTCACCAGTCATTGCATTAAATATTAGTAGCATGGGACCGAGATATAGGGAGAGGTAGAAATTCTCCATGGATCGAAGACATGCAAGAGTGAGAGTGAACGCTGTCCACGTGATCCAGAATAAGTTAATCTCAGGGTTGATGTCCAAATATTTTAAAAGACCAATAAGACGAAGGGAGATGTCGACAAAAAACGAGAATAGAATCAATAAATCCATGTAGTTCCAGAAAGACGTGAAGTAACATTTTAATCCGCTTATCCACATTTCTTGAATTTCACCCCAGATGAGAGCAATGATGTAGATTAGGAGAAAAATTATGAAATACTCATATGACAATTCATAATAAAACGTACCATCAAGCTCAATGTTAAGCAAGATGACAAGAAAAAGAAATTTGAAGTAAGACGCCATTTGCATTAAGAATTTGGCTTTAGGGTTATCCAGAATTTTCGCCGCCGGAGAGCAAGGTGCTATGATATATATGACGGCCAATAGTGGCATTAGTAACACGTATACAATCAAACAGTATATGCAATACAAAAACCGCCACCAAAAGCTATTCTTGCAATGCCATCCTGGTTGTCCCTTGTGCCAAACCTTTCTCAACACGTTCTGACATTTGTAGTGTGCTAATAACTGAAAAAATAACAAAAATATAACTTGTTAAACAATTAATTAAATACAAATGTACAAAACAATGACAATGAAACGCAACACAGAATTGGTAGATACAAACAAAGATTTTGTTTTGTGTTTGTAGCCTATTATGTGAGTTATCGGCATACTAACTAAGCATGCTTGCTGTGAAGTTTGTCTACTTTCCTTGATTTCTGCAAAATTTCGCAATTCAATTCGCACGATGTACACAAATCACGTGATTGTCCCTATCCAATAGAGCATTGACTGACAACAATAGTTTTGGTAACTACAGAACACAGTATATTACTGAATATTTTTAGTGGGTTAGTTACATTCAAGTTTTGTGGATATTAGTGGTCCACTAATTCCAGGAATAACATCAGGTTATAGATTACAAAATTTAGGGGGTGATTCCCAGGGCTAAATCGGAACTCCTTAAACGCATGTCTTTTCACCACCCGCCAAATTGAAATGTCAGAAAGCCGTTGAATTGGCTGCAATGGTTTTCTCATGATCGTGCCACACCTTTTGTCTGCATTCACAAGAAGCCACACAATGTTTTCTGGGAGCATGGGTGTGACACGCATATGACACTCACAGCGTAGAAGACGCGTCAGCGACCCCGGATGTTTATTCGACTATTTGCGTTTGCACTATAGTTGCCGTATTAGCATGGAAAAGCATGAAGCTGCCTGTGTGAGAAATGCAGTATAGTTTTATAAATACGAATGCGTTAGCTGAAGGATCGCGAACCATACTGATTTTGCAATGCGCCACGCGAGTCTGGTTAACTTGTTGCTCACGTGGTCTAGTCCCAAAAAATACGCTCACTGATACTGCTTCGGCTGTTCATCCAATTAGTAATTTATTGACAGTCGAAACACTTATGGGCCATCAATAAAATGCCCATTTTTTTCGCGATGCCGACACTCAACAAATGTGGAACTATGAAAGCTAGATCAAGCAAGTAGATAAACAAATCTCTGGATAATAATATAAAAGTCGGTGTCGTTAAAAATCAGTTTTACTCTTGTATATAGATATGGAAATGCATTTTGACATATTTTGTAATATTGTCTGCTTTTGTTTATTCGTAATACATTTGCCCGATGGAGTCACTTTTCCCACAAAATGAAAAAATGTATTTTGAAAAAAGCTATCAGTGGTTACTATGGAAAGTTTTATTTTGCATCAGGTGATAGCTTATTTATCATGATATGAATAAACATAGGAATGTGATTTGTTTTTGTTATTTATCTCTCAACCGTTACAGAGAATCTGCAACCAGAGGGACTCTGAGATAAGCGAACAAAGACAACTATTTGACTACTTATAATTTAACCTGAAATAAATTGGATTGTGTATTCATGGGTGATTGATCATTGAATATTTTATGAGCAAACCAAAACCTCGCAAAACCAATTAAATATACCCTTTTCAAGTGAAGTTATAACTGAATGTCATGTTACAGTATACAGGTAATGATGTTGTCTTTTATAAGAGTCATATCTCTGTGTTATCCTCCATAGACAAAACCTCACAGATTAGAAGTATTAACAAACGACAATAAATGTATACACCACAGGCAAAATTCAACATGATTTACTATTATTAAGTCACAGAACATACATCCCATAACAGAACAAAACCCAAATCAATATCAATATTAATACAATCTGTAACTTCACGTCTCGCGTTGTTATTTGACCAACAAGTTATTTTTCTATGCTACAGAACTAGTACTCAATAAATTTCAGTTTCCATTCAAATCTAATGTTAATGACATATTTATTTATCTTCTTCATATTCATCTCGCGTTGGTGCTCTTCTAATTTTGGCGAATAATTTTACAAGTTTTAATTTGTATTTTGACATAATCTGAATCAAACTGTACAATACCATCACCAATAATGTAGATGCATGAATCACGTTATACCAAGAATTGTAAATTGCCTTTGTGACATGGATATTGACCAGTTTAGATACACAGCTTCAAAGTATGTTATTTCTGCATAGTGTTTGTTGTATCAGCGAAGTATGGCACAAAACCGCAAAATGTCATAATGATAGTTTTCTTCCCTTCAGTTCATGTGACTGTATTTCTATATTGAAGCGGGCCGTATTAAAATGGAAGTTGTGACGCAGAAACAATATTATAAACACCAGAATTGATTTTTTTGTACAACTTTTGATTAGATAATTCTCATGATATCATGTTTTAAGCTGGTTCATTGTGTAATCTTGGCAAGTGTTTAAAATGTTTATGTAAGTCAAAATCTGTTTACAGTTTTAATTAGGCTTTTGAAGGAACCATCGTGACTCAATGCGAGTACCGCAAACAAGACCCGCTAGTTGTCATTTTGATGGCAATCACAAAACAGACAGAGATACATCAGCGATTCATTTTGTGTATTGTCCAAGTGTGAACAAAGTTAGCCTGAGCGTGAGAAACATGTATTCAAGTTGCTAGACCTAAATAAATAAGAAATAATTATTAGGAATGAATAATCTATTGCATGACAGGTACAGATATCACTACAACAGGTTATGGTACACACCTCCTTGTTATCGGTTGCTATGGCTTTGGTTACTACGTTTCCTTTCAGTAAACTTCCCACTTCTTTAACACCACTGCTTCCACGCATCAGAGTAGATACCTCCTCAGAGCTCTCACAGCAATCAAGAAAATCAATCGTATACTGTTGTACCTTATTTTTCATTTCAATATATCTTGCCTTAGTGAAAACAAAAGGAAAATACAGATATATTATACCTGTACCAGCGACAACAAATGCTGCTTGCTGCAATGTTTACTAATTGTAATAAAAGCGTTATTTATTTATATCTAATAATATTTCATTCAATACCTCAGATGTCATTCGAATTTCTCTCGCGTTAGTTACTTCCTGTAAATCGTTCGCTAGATCCATTGAAGCCATGACTGGGTCACGATTTGCAAGGGTCAGGTAGGCAGGTGAGGTTAGACCACAGAATAGACTGTATCGCAAGTCATCATCCAAAATATGTTCCTCTCCTGAAATAAAGCACATTCCGTGTGCACCATATAAGCGTGCATGGTACACAAACGTGCATGAGCGAAACAAAACTACCAATGCTAGTAATATTATGTCCTTACACTAACCATTACAATTGGACGGTTTGGGAATACGTTTCACGCCACTATCTAACAACAATCGAACCATCTGGAAGTTGTTGCTCTCCGCGGCCAGCTGTATTGCCGTGACTGGTAGCATTTTCCGCATGACGGCGCAGTTAATGTCGAGTAATCCATTCTGTCAAAATGTGAAAAAGACAGATATTGTCATTTGTAGGAATTTTACGAATTGTAGGAATGTACGAACACATTTATACCGCGATGTTTAAGCTCACTTCGACACAAACAAATTAATAGAACTAAACATATTACAATTATTAGAACGGGAATACAAAGCGCCATTTCAGCGACCATGAACTGGCGCCAGTAGTAGTTCAACAACCCGGAAGCTAAACGAACTTATGCTTAGAGTTAATTAGGGTGACGAGGTCATTGTTTAATAGTAGTAGTAATGTGTATGTGCAATAATGCGTTCAGAGTCAAGGAAAACCTATCGCTGTATAACCCAGACGAAGTATGTCAGCAACAGTTATGGATGACTTGTTCACTACAGGTTTAACTCCTACCTTCAATAACTCTTTAGTTTTCACAACATCACCGTTTTCTACAGTGGATATGAATTCAGCTTCGTCGGGTGTCAGACTATTTTTACCATTCGTGAAATAGGACCACTCTTTAGTTGTCATTTGACAAAGCTCACGTACGTCTGGCTCCGCCATGGTAATTTGTGGTATGTTCTGTTCCTGGTTAGTATCGCATACCATAGGTTGTTCAACCTAAATTAGTGAGTTATCTCTTGTGTTACGATTGCTCGGTGCTGGTACAATCACGAAGAAAATTACTAAAAAAGTAGGTATTCAGGAGAATGTGTTTTATCAGATACGCATAAGATATTCGAATAATTTGCATTCTTTAACCCCAGACAGCAGCCGCGACTACACGTGAGTTATAATTCACAGGGTCATTAGTTCAAGTCATTCAAAATACCAACCTTTTCAACTACACAACTACGATAAGACGCGCCAAACTTGATGAATGCACGCCTATTCTATCCACACGAACCCTGGGCATTTTATGATTGCAAGCCAACGTACCATGACCATACAATACCTCACCAAATTCACAATGCATAGTGGGCGTTACATTTATGTTGAAAAAGCTATCTGTAAATGATTGACTGACAATAATATTTACCAAAAAAGCTTTTTCTAGTAAACAGAATAAAATAGTCTCCCATATCGAGATAGAATTATCATAAACACAGTTTTAATTTTATTAAAAATATTTGCAAAAGAGTTGTAACATTGTCAAGCAGTATTGCCGAACATTTGCTCGTAATATACACCTGTGAAAGATACTACCAAACCTTTCCACATAAATTGAATCGTTAATTTTATAAAACTCAATTAAACAATCATTACTGAGATCATTTAGGTAACAGTAGATAATAATGTCATGATACACGTAATCAATGGGCTTTGAATCAGTTGAAATACAATGTCGGGCAAGTTAATCTTAAACCCTATTCAACTAACTTAAGAACCTTAATTTTGGGGTTGTCCTCAATTTTAGTAAATCTTTAACATTAGATAAAACAATTCTTTAGTGGTTTTTATGTCATGGTGTTCCACGACAGTGAATCACGTACACACGTATTCGGAACAGCGGCTACGCATTATTTGCGATTCAAGGATCCGGGGCTTTATTTCTATATTGCCTGTATTCTAGTTATGTCTGTTCAAGGGCGCCACCACATGCTTGCCGTGGACGCGGGTAGTTTTGCATCGAATTATGCCAAGTTTTACATAGTTTAGTGAAAAATACATACTACAACTAATAGAATACATAGAAAGATATCGTATATATATAAAGTGTATAGTGTATGCTGTTTGCGGAAATAAAATATACATTCATTTGAACGTTGAGATTAAACAAAATTGAAATACTTATACTTGTGGCATTCATAGATTATTCGCCCTAATATATAAAATGGCCACAGATTCACGTCGAATAGGTAATAACAGAATAGGTAGAGATAATTTAATAAAGAATTATAGTTCTGAAGGTATCAAGTATCAGAAGAATTATTATTATGTTTCAACACCACATACACATTACCTTGGACATTAATATTAAACTCAAAATTGATTGTATTTTCGAATTTAGCGATTTTGAGAAGGTGACATTGAAATATCAAATACTAGTACACAAGAGTGTTATAGTCTACATGTGACACAACATAATTGATGGCTCGAATATTATTCTTGATATCTGAAGATTTTATTACAAAATGCAATAACATACATGCAAACTGTACATTAGCTAATTATCCAGTTCTTGGATCGAAATATGCACATTGTTTATGTGGGGTGTGATAAACAGATGTTGAAAAAGTTGCATCCTGTAAGATTGATTAAATTGGGAATTTATATTCCCATAATATTGCATTCGCATCAATGTTCCAACAGGGGAGTTACTGGGGAGTTTCAGAGGATGTGAAAAATGTTGTTGACCGCAAATAACCAATTTCTGTCTTGTGTATACTTTTTTTCATTTTAGCATGACATTTGACACTATATATTCGTCACAATGTATACTGGCACGTGGATTATAGCCGTAACGTTCACTCGATAGCGGTAAAATCACCTGAATATATATTGCGCTGATTAATTTACAAATATTAGAGTTGTTATTATCTCATTGGCACACAATTATATTGAGTATAATGTTTAGCTCAAATCTTATTGAATTAGTCATATAGATCAGATGTTCTAAAATATGTACATACATGTAATTAACCAGTTTCATTGAAGTCTGACATTCAAATTATTATATACTGTATATCGATATTCAATTGGTCAGTAAATTACATAAGACACTTTATTTTGCACTAAACATGCTTCTTTTATATCTCATAATTGTACAAAATATATAACAGCCTTTACGGTGTTTTGTATACATGAAATTGCTTTTCTAATCAAACTTCATTAACTAGTAAAGTGTAAAATACCGGTTGATACATTTCAAACACATTTCGACATTGACCATGACACCCAATATCAGTGTTTCAGAGCCATGTCGTATCTGTAGAGTGTTTTATATGGTTTTCCAGAGGATGAGCTGAAGTATGAAACTCCTTCAAAGTATTCTCGTTCACGATACCTTTCATTAGCATATAGCGAGCACGTAGTACCTTTATTAACTGTAAAAAAAAATACGTGGTTTGTGTAAGTATAAATAGCATTTATGGTTACCAATGAACCAAGTAAACCGAAACTTTAAAACTGACATCCAATAAATGCATCATATGATAAAATTGACTATACATAAAGTCCGTACACTATATTTGACTAAAAATACGGCCAATTTCACGATATAATCCATATTCGTGCTAATTAAATAAAAAAAAGTGAATTAAATATTAATGAGTGTTCTTACAATGTAAAAGTAAATGTTTCTTTTCTATAGTGAATGTTGTATACACGTTTCGTCAAAACAAATATAAGCCTCAGCTCACCTCCCCATAGAGCAACTCTTTCTTCATCTGCTCTTCTGTTGTGTTATCATTTGGAATAGTTAACTGTAGATTATAAACATGCAGAGAATTATACATGCAGAAATGAACAACTTTTACATTAACGTGATATCCATATTTACTAGCTACTTTTAATATTTCTATGCTCTTACCTCAACGTTTTCATCTGTGCTCGAGCTAGGCTTGTAGCTACAAAAACACTTTTTGACAATAGAAATCAAACACGAAACTGATGGGATAATGTTATATGGAGCTGGCAATACGGGGGCGTCGACATAACTCAACCATATCTTCGTCCGCATAAATCTATACTCGACCTCAATATTTTCCTAAGGCAAATCCACAATATGCGAAAAATAATTAAAAAAAAAATAGATCGGCTTTTAAATTAGAAACAAAGGACGAGTTTTGTTGTTACATCCGTGGTGATTGATCGCAAACGAAAAGAAATAGTGAAAGTTCCACATGTGTGACTCCCCCCACAAATGTTTAATCACCGACTTAATTACAAACTGCGAATGTGCAATGTACAAAGAAATAAATACACACATATGATACCGCATGGTGGCCAGTACGCTTCTAACCTGGTAGTGGTACAATAAGCGATGGTGAAATGGGGAGCAGGGAGCAGTCTATATATATATATATATATATATATATATATATATATATATATATATATATATATATACATATACATAATTGGTTGGTGGAAGGAAAACCTAATTGGTTACATAGCATTATGATTACATAGGAAAATACCTTACAAGGAAACTATTGTTTTGGTATGCTGATTCGGAAAAGCGGGTTTGTATATTATGGAGACACGTAAACAAATATATAGAAACAGATCCAGTGGGTGAATAATGAATCAACAACTGGAATGAGAAAAGAACCACGAAACATCGCGGGTTGGCCAACACACATTTGGTACGGACAATGAGGGAATCGAATGCCCTGCCCTGTGTCAAAATAAGTCACATTAAACGATTACAAACGATTACCGATAATCAACAACAGACAACAATTACAAGCCTGTGCTCTCTATAAGGTAGTTATGGTTCATGGCAATCAAAGTCTTATTCTTATTCTAGTGCAACTATCCCGAGTGTCCTGGGACACAGTATGTTTGTTTGGGTGAATGACGTCAGGATAGATGACGGCGCGTCGACATGACAACGAAAGTTGGCCGTCCTTAACTGAGGCGTTAAGAACATCGCGGAGATTCGAGTCAAACAAAGACAAAAATGCCGATACAATTCACCAGGCAAACCGTGAATACCACAGACGTACCCTATGATAACAATTTAAAAGCACAGGTCAACCCATCAAAAGATATCATCAAAAGAGGTCATCACACATGTCTTTAAGCGATTAATCAAGTTGGGGGAAGTCCTTTTCGTAGACGAGCTAGACAGTCAGTTGACCCAGGGTCAGGGAAGAAAAGAAATTTCTTTTGTAAGAGTTCGCATTTCACCCAGTGCCTCGTAGTAGTATTTGGTCGTTGTAACTGGGTCACGACCTTTTTATCAACCTCTGTTTTTCGATATCAGAGAAGAAAAAAAGTCAGGAGCGCATTAGTTTTATTGAGAATTCTATGCCGCGATCTACTGGTAACCCCCCTTGATTTATTTTGCAATAAAGTTTGAAATGAAGCTTTTTTTTTGTTTAATTGTATCTTGAGTACATCAGTTGATTGGTTTGTCTTCGCAAAGATTTTGTTTAATGCGCTTATGGTTATTTCTTATATTCGCACTGTAGTGTGTAGTTAGTTCTTTTATTTAAAGTTTAACAATATCCCACCACATTTGCCTGGAGTAAAAGCGACTTTTTCTTTGAGCCATAACAGCCAGAAATCATTAAAAATATATATTAGTATTTACCTCTAATGATGACTAGATCTTAAATAAAATCATTTAGCATGTTCTTAAGTATTTAAAAAAAATCAAGCCGATCCACCCCAACGGTGGGAGCATAAACATTTACCGAGTAAACTGGCGACCCGTCTATCTCCAAATGTATGTGTAGCAAACGTCTGGAGACAACATCAGCAACAATGGAAAAAGAAAATAGAAGATATCCATACAATTTTCCACTGGGCTTCATCGGCTTGAACAGTGTAAGTTTCCTGACGGAATAAAAGTCGCTAGAGTGATTTAATTTAGAGCTGGCATCGCTTCAATG